TCAAAGGAAGCCCAATCTCCAGAGCCAATTTCTCAAAAGTCTCTATCAAGTGTCTACAATTCCCAGAATCCTTTGCCCCACAAAAAAGAAAATCATCTAAATAATGGGCCGTGTTGGGGGATAAGGGGCCCACCAGGTGCCAGTGGATGAACCCAAAGACACTTGACTTGCCAGCCAGCCCTGCATGCCCATGGTCAACTGCTCCTGCACTTGTGTTCCCAACCCCCATGGCCACATCAGCAGCGTTCCACTAATGCCCAGTACAGCAGCAAGCTCACCTGATGTTTGAGTAATGGCTGCATCCCAGCTGGTTAAAGGCCTTTCACCATCCGACCTGCTGTCCTCAACCACTTCCTGGAACATACTGCTGCAGCAAGCAGAAGATCTGCTAAGCACTGCTTACATTAACCTAAGGCCCTTCAGCTAGCGCCAACTCATATATCTTGGCTCATTTATTTCCCTCTCCCTTTTCCTATCAACTAAAGGGTATCACCATCCCAAGCCCCAGAAAGTATTACATTTCTGTTCCTACAGTGATTTTCAGCTGCTAAAGAACTTTAATGTTCTTTCATTTCATCTCTAGCTACCATCAGGCAATACCACAGGCAAAACCATAATCACAGTAATCAAGATGGATGAACTAATAATAGTATTGCTTTGTATAATGACAATAATCAGGGGAAGTAAAGATAAGTGACAGAAATTTCACAGGTTTATCATGAGCCATGATCTTTAGGATAGTCCATAATCCCCTTCTTGTTTCAGATAAACTAGTATTTTGATCTCTGCTAACAGCTTTTCCAGGGCTTCAGGTTGGATTTTTTTCCTGACCCTACCTGAAGCCTTCACTATTCTTTTGCAGTCTCCCATCCAATTATTAGCTAAACCCAAACCTGCTTAGCTTCCAAAATCAGACATAGTTCACACATGAACATTTAAAAGATAAAACAGAGACAATAATTAATTAATTAATTTTATTTTTACCATGCTTTTCTCCTTAAAAAGGACCCAGCGCTCCTTACATCTTTAAGGTAAAAGGTAAAGGTTCCCCTTGACAATTTTTGTCCAGTCATGTTCGACTCTAGGGGGCGGTGCTCATCCCTGTTTCCAAGCCATAGAGCCAGCGTTTGTCCGAAGACAATCTTCTGTGGTCACATGACCAGTGTGACTTAGACAGGGAACACTGTTACATCTTTCAAGACAATACTTAAAACTAAAAAACAATATACAAATATGTAAAAGGAACAAACAAATGCCATTCATTTACAGATTAGAACCAACATTTGGAATTATACCTGGAAATGGATTGGCAGCCAGTGGAGCTGCTGTAATGGGGGGGGCTGTAACAGGGGGTTATGCAATCCCTGTAACCAGCCTCAGTCAGTAACCTGGCTGCTGAGTTTAGCAATCCCACATAGAATGTGTTACAGTAATCCAGCTGGGATGTCATTAAGACATGCGTCACCATGGCCAGATCAAACTTCTCCAAGAATGGAGGAATCTTTTAGAGCATGGGTCAAGGTTCATACTAGCATAACTCATGTGCATAGCATGTACTAGTGCATATACTGGCCCAAATACTGTTGCTTAGCAAAGTAAATCACACTAGAGTAGGCCTATTAAATCAATGGGGCTTTGATTGCCTATTTGTTTGTAAGTCACATTGATTCAAATGATTCAGATGAGCTTTCTAACTGTGACTTATTTTAGCATAGTAATTGACTCAATGGGCCTATTCTAGTGTGATTTACTAGATGGCATCCACCCAAGCGTTACTAAGGAACTGAAGAATGAAGTGGCTGATCTCTTAACTAAAATGTACAACATGTCCCTTTAAAAAGCCACAGTGCCAGAGGACTGGAGGATAGCACATGTCACGCCAATCTTTAAAAATGGAAGGAGGGGGGACACGGGAAACTACAGGCTAGTTAGCCTAACGTCTGTTCCAGCCTAACGTCTGTTTCCTGTTCCAGGAAAGATGAAAGATGCTCCAGGAAAGTTGAAGATAAAATCTCAAAACACATAGAAGAACAAGTCTTTCTGAGGGAAAATCAGCATGGCTTTTGTGAGGGTAAGTCTCACCTCACAAACCTTTCAGAATTCTTTGAAAAGGTCAACAGGCATGTGGATGTGGGCAAACATTGTCTATTTCGATTTTCAGAAGGCGTTTGATGTGGTCCCTCGCCAAAGGCTGCTGAGAAAACTCCACAGTCAGAGGGCCTCACCTCACAAACCTTTCAGAATTCTTTGAAAAGGTCAACAGGCATGTGGATGTGGACGAACATTGTCTATCTCGATTTTCAGAAGGCGTTTGATGTGGTCCCTCGCCAAAGGCTGCTGAGAAAACTCCACAGTCAGAGGGCAGGTCCTCTAAAGCAGTGGTCCCCAACCTTGGGCCCCCAGATGTTCTTGGACTTCAACTCCCAGAAATCCTGGCCAGCAGAGGTGGTGATGAAGGCTTCTGGGAGTTGTAGTCCAAGAACATCTGGAGGCCCAAGGTTGGGGACCACTGCTTTAGAGGACCTGCCCTCTGACTGTGGAGTTTTCTCAGCAGCCTTTGGCGAGGGACCACATCAAACGCCTTCTGAAAATCGAGATAGACAATGTTCGTCCACATCCACATGCCTGTTGACCTTTTCAAAGAATTCTGAAAGGTTTGTGAGGTGAGACTTACCCTCACAAAAGCCATGCTGATTTTCCCTCAGAAAGACTTGTTCTTCTATGTGTTTTGAGATTTTATCTTCAACAAGGCTTTCCACCATCTTTCCTGGAACAGACGTTAGGCTAACTAGCCTGTAGTTTCCCGGGTCCCCCCTCCTTCCATTTTTAAAGATTGGCGTGACATGTGCTATCCTCCAGTCCTCTGGCACTGTGGCTTTTTTAAGGGACATGTTGTATATTTTAGTTAAGAGATCAGCCACTTCATTCTTCAGTTCCTTAGTAACGCTTGGGTGGATGCCATCTAGTAAATCACACTAGAATAGGCCCATTGAGTCAATTACTATGCTAAAATAAGTCACAGTTAGAAAGCTCATCTGAATCATTTGAATCAATGTGACTTACAAACAAATAGGCAATCAAAGCCCCATTGATTTAATAGGCCTACTCTAGTGTGATTTACTTTGCTAAGCAACAGTATTTGGGCCAGTATATGCACTAGTACATGCTATGCACATGAGTTATGCTAGTATGAACCTTGACCCATGCTCTAAAAGATTCCTCCATTCTTGGAGAAGTTTGATCTGGCCATGGTGACGCATGTCTTAATGACATCCCAGCTGGATTACTGTAACACATTCTATGTGGGATTGCTAAACTCAGCAGCCAGGTTACTGACTGAGGCTGGTTACAGGGATTGCATAACCCCCTGTTACAGCCCCCCCCATTACAGCAGCTCCACTGGCTGCCAATCCATTTCCAGGTATAATTCCAAATGTTGGTTCTAATCTGTAAATGAATGGCATTTGTTTGTTCCTTTTACATATTTGTATATTGTTTTTTAGCTTTAAGTATTGTCTTGAAAGATGTAACAGTGTTCCCTGTCTAAGTCACACTGGTCATGTGACCACAGAAGATTGTCTTCGGACAAACGCTGGCTCTATGGCTTGGAAACAGGGATGAGCACCGCCCCC